CGAAGAGCAGGTTGCAGGAAACTGGTTGATTGGATGCTGTGACAAATCCAAAGAGATTGAGATATTATGAATGGGAAGCCCAATCGGCGGCACCTGACCATCTCGATCGACCTCACCGATCGATCGATCGATAGAGAGGTGGAATGTCGTCGATTGGGGCCGGTTTCTGGTTTTGGATTGGTCATCTTTTCGAATCTGAATCTTGAATCTCCAGCAAGTCTGGCGTGATCTGATCTCCGCTTATCATAATACGATAATTTTATTGTTTTCCACTTTTTCGGTGGCTTTTGAAAAAAAAAAATAACATTTTATTTGGAGCATAAGAAATATTTCAATAAAGCGAGCTTTTGGTCACTTCCCCTCCCTATATATGTTGTTTTTGTTTGTTATTCTTTCTTGATGTTGTTTTATTGTTGATGTTGTTGCTGTTGCTTCTTAACTGGTCTAGCAACTTTGGCTCGGATTGGAATGTTGTCGGCTTTTGGCTTGAAACTCTCAGGCTCAGTTGGAGTCTCAGTCGAAGACCCAGTCTCAGTCTCTCCATTTGGCGATTCTACGCTCTTTTCTGCCCGTTATTGCGTCAATGCCGTCGTTAACTTTGTTGTTATTGTTATTATTATTATTATTTTTATTGTTGTTATTGCTCCTTGTGGCTTTCGTTGTTGTTGTTGTTTCGTTACTTTTCCTTCCATGAGTCAGATCTCAGATCAATGGAGCCAATGTAAGCAATCCTGAAGGGCAGAGCGTGCGTAGTAATGCACTTTTGTAAATTTCTTGGAAATTTTCACTCAAGTTTTTTATTTTATTTTTCAACATACTCATTATTTTTTTTTGCGTATGGGGTGTATCTGTTTTTAAGGTTTTTTATCTATAGATTTTAAACGTTATGAATATTATTAGTCTTATAAGATCTTATTGGATCTGCTTTCTTATAGAGTCTATAATATTATATTATATTAATTATGTTAATTATTAATATTATATTATAATAATATTAGAGTATAATATAATATACATACTTGAACTACAAGATCTAGTCAGATTCTAGTCAGTACTTTCTTATAAACTTTGTTCATAAAAACTATCTTCTTATAGACAACTATACCATTCTGAACTATACTAAATACTATAATATATAGTAACTATATAATACAATACTATACTATACTGCACCATACCATCATACACAATTCAAAAAACATACTATACTATACCACACTATATCATACCATATTTATGTACCCTCAAAGAAAAGCTTCCCTATTTCTCTACCAGAGGAGGTATTTTCTCTTCGTGTCTAGAAATATGACTTTCAAGTAGCCTCGCCATTAAATCGCCTTTGCACTTGAAAAAGAAAAACAAAGGCGGCGAAAACAATGAGTAGTAAAAAACAAGCACAAATGGCAGTTAGGCGTGCCAATTGCACCTTTACACTTTTTTTTTTACGAGGCGCGTGCACGGTGGCGCCCAAGGCGCGTTAAACGAAATTAAACAATAAAACGCTAGCCAGGGTCCGGAGCGTTGTTGTTTTTGGATGCAAACTTCTTCCTCCTTCATGTGTGTAAATGAGAGAATGCTGATAAGACTAGAGTGCCGAGAGGGGGCTGGCGCCAAGAGCTAAGAGTTAGTTTTGGCAGCCCTTTTCCCTTATCTCTTCTAGTGAGAAGATCTATGTGTCTTTAATTTAAGAAAAATGTTACTAAAGTTTATATATATTTTTGTATATAGTTTCTAGACCTGGGTTTTTGATCAGACAAGTTGATGATGATGATGATGATGATGATCTTCTTATCAGCTTCAGATCTTTTGGCAATGTTTCGTGTGTCCGGAAATGTTGTGGCTTGGCCGCCTGGTCTGGCCTGTCCGTAGGTTTCTTCGTTTCACTTTGTAGGCTGATTGATAAAAACAAAGTTAACGGAATCTGGGTCACACACATACAGATACAAAGATACACTTGCCGACAACAACAATGTATTCGCAGTTTTTTGAGTGAGGGGGGGGGGCCACAGTTTGAGAGCCACAGTCTGGGAAGCACTGTATGATTTATGCGTTGAGAGAAAGAAGGCTTGAGAGTAACGAAGCGAGATAGCGAGAAAACAGAGAAAGAGCGCCAAGAAGGGGGCAGGTGTCATGGCAGCTCATTTTAATTTTTTGTATTTATTTTTTATTTAGAGTCTCAGTTCTGCAATAAAGCTTTTAATTAAATATGTGTTTTAAGCATTTTAATTATTTTAGTTAAATATTTTATTCTTTCTTGTTGTATGTTTTTATTTATATCGCGACATTTGCCGTGTGTGTATTATATTTTACTGCGCAATAAAAGCAACAACAACAACAACAATCATACATAACATCAGCGGCAACAACAAATCAAGCATAATAAACAAGCAGCATTAGCGAAAAGAGTGTGCGTGAGAGAGCAGGCAGTGCGAGTGGGATGGAGAGTGCTTTGTTTTTATACCCTAGGTGTAGAATCTTTTGGGGATTGATTGGGTTTTTTGATTAGCTAGAAGTAATTGCTGATAAATAAATATATTTCAGTTTTGTTTTTTATTTTATTTTTATTTTTTTTTAGATCTCTAAAGCCTTTAAATAAAATATAAACTATATTAACTTTTTTTCTTAAACAAGTGTATACAAATTTCGGTTTAATAAAAGTTATCTGGCTCTTTATTTTTTATGTTTTTTTTTTTGTTCTTTCCTTTAAACGGCTAGCTAGAAAAAATTTGCAAAACAAGAACAAATTGCGTGTGTGCGTTTGTTTCTGTGTGTGTGTGTGTGTGTCTCTCTATGTTTGCATTATACATCTACTACGTTTTCAACTACGCAGCAGAAAATGTTTACTACTGCAACAGCAACAACACAAACAACAATCTCAAGATACAGTGGGTGGTGGTGAGAATTGCTTACACTGCTTCTCCTTTCTTTTTGCCACGCAGCCGCATTTCCTTCTCTCGTGTTACGCCCCAAAATCTTAAAAAAAAAAAATTCCATATAGCGTAGTGGCACCGGCACCCTGTAATCGGGAGCATGGGAGCAACGGCGACTTTTGATGAATTACAACTTTGTAAACAGACACACTCACACACACTGTGGATAATATTTACTATTTACTACGTTTTACAACGCGGCTGCGCTGCCGACGTCAAAGGAACGTAGAGCAAACGTCATGCAAAAAAAAAACAACAAAAATTGAAATAAAAAAAAAAAAGAAACGTCAATGCCGATCCAACAACAGCTAGCTAGCCCTCCCTCTCTCTATGTTTGCCATTTTTTATTTATTCTATTCTTTTGTCTGGCGCATAAAATTATTTATTTTTTTGTTGCTGCTGCCGGTTAGCTTTTGTTTTTCATTTTTTTTTTTTTTTGTTCTCCTTCCACAAAGAGAGTGAGAGAGCTTGGAGCTCTAGGTGGTGTGCGAGGGGGTGTGAGAGAGTCGCAAGGCCCGACCCGGCTTTCTCAGCTGTTCTCGCCTTGTTGTTGTTGTTTTTTTTAGCTTTGTCTAATCCAAAAATTATTAAGAATTATAGAATCAACCCGAAAAAAAATGGAGCATGATTTTATTTGTTGAATTTGTTGATCAACAGCGGCATTGGGGTGTGTATTTTAAATCTTTTTCTAGTATCTGGCTTTAGTATCTTTAGAGTTGGGGAAGTACCTTTCAAAGAAACTGGATGCAGATAAGTAGGTTTAGTAATTGCCTAATTATAAGACCTTAGTATTATAACTAGAACTCTGATACTAGCTAGAAATATAGAAATATTTAATCCAGATTTCCAGGAAATGGATAACTCTTAGATATTGAAGGATTAGATTATTGAAGGATACAGACTAGATATTGATATTATGAAGTAGATGATCTGCTACTTTAGTATAAGACTTTATTTTCTGTTATTATTAGCTATAATAGCTATAATATAATAGCCCTGAAATGTTGATTTATGATCTATGGAGTCTCTTAAAAACTTTCGAAATATTTGGAAACACCTAGGAATACCTAGGAAACCCTTTAACTGAGTCCATAAAATGAAAAAAGTGGATCTTAAGGGATATTGTGATATAAATAAATAGTTACTTTATTATAGCACTAGAAATACCTAGAATTTATGTAACGGAAAAATCGGATCTATATTGAAAAATCGATCTGCTATTTTAGTATATGACTTCATAGTATAATTTTTAAAACAAGCATAAATTATTGCAGTAGAATCACAAAGAGACTCTTCAATCAAGATCTTTAGATCTAAAAACCTTGGGATATTAGGGGATATTCTGCAATAGACGTTCCAGTCTTTACATCTGTTTCTTTAATATAGAACTTTACTTATTAATATTCCTAGAATATTTATGAATTATGTATGGAGTCCCATAGGAATCCAAGAAACATCTAGAAACTTTTAAATAAAGATCTTCCAATTAAAATCTCTAGGATACTGATAGATTTTATACAAAAAACGACCTTCTACTACAATACTATTCCTAAAAACAAGTAGTAACTATAGAATCGCCTAGAAACTCTTTAATCAAGATCTTTATTATAAAAAAAAACCCTATAGAGTTCCTTAGAAAAACGATCTGTTACACCTGCATGGTTGTTGCACTGAGTCGAACTTTTGTTGTTCTTCTGTTTGTCGCGCTCCGTACGTAAGCTATAATATTAAGGGCAATAATTAGATAGAAAAGGCAAGCGTAAAATATTTAAGTTCGTGCGACTGATCTTTCGCCCAGTGACGATAGCTGGCGAGCTGGCGACACGTGTGCCGAGCACTTGGCGCCCTTTTTCGCATAAAATTACGTACTTGACGACGACAAAGATTGTTGTTATTATTGCTATACCTGCTATTGTATTTTATTTTCCATTCCGCTCGATTTAAAAACACTAACAACAACACATTGCCATTCTGCTTTCTCATTATAGTTGCAAAAGGCGGCACTAAAACAAGCGTTTAAACCTTAAAGCGAGAAAAAGCATTCCAACAACAACCACGAAAGCAACAAAAGCAACAACAACAACTGGAGTTTATAATTATTTGTATTTTTTTTTTTGTTGTTTTCGGAAAATTCTCGCTTTGGAGCAGAGAAAAAGGTGGGCGTGGGAGGAGGAAAGGCGCTGGCACTGCCATGATTACCTAGCGGAGGTGTGGCGAAGAGACCCACGATATGAACTCTTGAAAACTAACTCTTGAAATAAAATACGGCAATACAAATGCTAGAAATACAGAAACAACACCACAATATGTTCAATATGAAAAGGCAAACGAAAAGCAAGTTAAAGCTCATGGAAGTGGAAGATATTCTTTCACTGCCTGGAATAGAAGCACGAGAAACTGATGAGGTATTAGCAACAACAACAACAACAGCAACAACAACAACAGCAACAGGAGAAAAAGCAACAGAAGCAACAAGAACGCTTGGCAACATTTGTGTGTTGTGCCGGCAAAAGATGGCGTCGGACACATGTTGCTATCGGCAAGCAGTGGAAGCAGTTGACCCGCCCACAAGCAGTAAGCAGGAAAGCAGTTTTCTGGCGCAAAGCAGTGGATACTGTGCGAAGCTATTAGCCGGTAAGCTAAATATTAAAACTTTTTTTTTAAAAATATATTTAAAACTTTTTCTTTATCTTTGTTTTAGTTGTTCAATTAAAATTTGAGCTTTTCCTCAAGCGCATGGCATTTTTTATTGGTACGGCCAATGAAACGAGTAATTAAAAATACTTTTAAAAAATATTTTTTAAAAAATTAAAACTAATATTATCTCACTTAAAACAGGAACCTTCCACAAGCGACGTCGACGACAGCAGCATCGGCAACAGCAGCAGCACACAAAATTTATAAATTTTACAAAATTCCTATTGCTGTTACAAGCCCTAGCAGCAGCTGCAACCACAAGACTGAGTTCATGCCGTAACTACAACTACAACTACAACAACAACCAGCAGCAACAACAACAACAACATAATCAACAACAACAACAATTAGCAAGTAAACGTGCCACATCACAAGTTCAACCGAAAAGGAGGCAACAGCAACATCATAAACATCATCGGCAGTGGGAACCATTATGTTACAAATACCTTCATCGGATGATGTATGCAAACATCATTCTTAACTTGATGCTCGTGAATGTTGCTACTGCGGCGGTCTTGGAGCTTCAGTCCATGCACCAGGACGATATAGCCGATAAGCTGGAAGTCCTGCGGGATAGAATCCGACTGGAGAGGAGCGAAAGAGCCGTCAGCCAACCGAACCAGCCCAACCAGCCCATGCGGTTGTCAAGAGATGAACACCGTAAGTCCTTATAAAGATAGAGGATATATACTAGATCCCTAAACCATTATCTTCCAATCTTCCAGCTTGCAAATCAATGGACATACGGAATACAGCGGATTCTGTCAACTATCTGGGCAACTGCACCAAGATCGAGGGCTTCCTGCTGATATCCCTTATAGACGCACCACAAATCATCACCGGCACCTTTCCCCTGCTCACGGAGGTCACCGAGTTCATAATTGTGTATCGGGTCTGGGGCCTCGAATCGCTGGCCCAGCTCTTTCCCAACCTGAGCGTGATTCGTGGCAACGCCCTGTTCGACGGCTACTCGCTGACGGTTCACTCCAATCCGAACCTCAAGTACGTGGGTCTCACCAAGCTCCGTTCGATCACCAACGGCCTGGTGCGGATCGAGAAGAATGCCAACCTCTGCTATGCCAACACTGTGGATTGGTTGTCCATCATGGCCGAGAATGCCACCGCGTCCGATTTTACGGTACTGAACGGTGATCTGAGCTCCTGCGAGGCATGCCCGGTGAAGTCACGGAGCGACGATACGGGCATAAGTTGTAAGCAGTATCCCAACAAGAAGAGCTACTGTTGGAACTCCAACTCCTGCCAGACAAGTAAGTTGGGAGTCACATTCTATAGAGGAGAGTATCTCTAATAAGTATATCCCTATTACAGTTTGTCCGGAGAGGTGTCGGGACAACTGCATCGATGAAAACACCTGCTGCAGCAAAGCGTGCCTGGGTGGCTGCGTCCGGGACAGTAATGGCAACGAAAACTGCATCCGTTGCCGGCACGTGTCGGTCAACAACACCTGCGTGGACTCTTGTCCATCAAACTACTTCCGGGTAAGTCCGAAGCACCTTGTATGTCCTGCTAACTAAACTAAATATTAACTCTCCGGATTATAGTATGAGCAGCGTTGTGTTACGGCGGAGATGTGCCTGAAGATGGGCACGAAGTTCGAGAACGCGGAGCTGCCGCTGGTTCCCTTCCAGGGCGTGTGCAGTACCAAGTGTCCCCTGGGCTACGAACTGAAGAACAAGACCTGCGTCAAGTGCATCAACTCCTGCGAGAAGGAGTGCTCTGCGACACTCATCGATAGCTTGGTTCGGGCTCGGGAATTCCATGGGTGTACCATTATCAACGGAGCCAAGGATATGCCCCTGACCATTAGCATCAAGAGGGAAGGAGACTGTGAGTATCTGAGAGCTAGGGCTTCTAAATAAATGAATAAAATAATTAACTATTAAATAGCGCACGTCATGGAGGCTTTGGAGTATGGATTCTCGACAGTGCACACTATAAGGGGCTCCCTCAAGGTTCACCTCACCTATGGGCTGACCTCGCTCCGTTTCTTCCGGTCCCTTCGCGAAATTAGCGGCGACTCGTTGCAGGACGATCTGTTTGCTTTGTATGTGCTCGAGAACAACGACCTGGAGGAGATCTGGGCGCCCAACCAGACTGTGTTCATCCGGAATGGTGGAGTATTCTTTCACTTCAACCGAAGACTGTGCGTGGCCACCATAAACACCTTGCTTCCTATGTTGGCCAGCAAGCCACCGTTCTTCAACAAGAGCGACGTGGCCACCGATTCGAATGGAAACCGAGGAACCTGTGAGTACTACATACTGGGGTCTTGACCAGAAATCTCAATAATGTGATTCCATTTCCTTGCAGGCGGCACTTCTCCCTTGCAGGCCCGCGTCTTACAAGTCAGCGCCTCAATGGCCACCGTTTGGGTCAACAAGGACATGATCTCGGAGGGCGAGAAGGAGAACAGCACGGCCACAATTGTGTTCAAGGACCCGCGTGCCTTTATTGGTTTCCAGTTCCTGCACGCCCTCGATCCCTACGGCAACATCACCAAGAGCAGCGATCAGCCCTGTGATGACACCTGGACCGTCAGTGCTCCCACCAAGGATGGTCGCTATCTTTTCGACAACCTGCGGCCATATACAAAATATGCCTTCTATGTCCGGACAATGGCCATCTCCTCGGAGACGACCAATGGCCAGAGCGACATCATACGCTTCCGGACGGATCCGTCCCAGCCATCCCAAGTACGCAATGTGGAGGCGGTTTCCAACTCGGACACCACAATTGTGAGTAGATGGGTCTTTGCTTAGATCTCTATAGGTGTGCTGATGTCTATTCTTTACTTCCAGGACATCACGTGGAACCCGCCAAGCTTTCCCTACGGCGAGATGAGCCACTACGAGGTGGTCATCAAGCTGATCAATGACACCAACGAAAACCTGACCCGCAACTACTGCAAAGATCGTAAGACCCTTGTTATCCACCCCTGAAGAATCATTTAATCATTCGCTCCTGTCCACAGCCATTACCAAGTACACGGATGACGACCCGAAACCAAAGCCTGCTCTGCCGGAGAAAGTCCTGGACCCCGATAATGCCAAGTGCGACTGTGAGAACAAGCGCAAGGGCGGCGGCGGCGGCGCCCAGGAGTACGACGACCGGAAGATTCATGTGGGCATTGAGTTCGAGAATGCCTTGCAGAACTTCATATATGTATCGAAATCCAAATCGTCCGAAAAGAGAGCACCCAAGGGTTCTGTGTCGGACATGGCGGCCCTAGAGTCCAATGCCATCGGTGGCAACGATAAGGCCGCTCGTCGGAAAAGGGAGATCGACCTGGAGCTGGAGGACGAGATGATGGATGTGCACAGCAGTTTCCTGCTCCGGCATGTGCGCTCCACGCGAAAGAAATTCTTCCCGACGGACACCAAGAAGGCCCACAACGAGACTACCAAGTTGTCGGCTAACAAGAACTTCTACGAGGTCTTCGTGGGAAAGGTTCCGGCCAATCAGACGTCCTTCACGTTCCAAAAGCTCCATCACTTCACCCAGTACGAGATCTATGTGTATGCCTGCCGCAAGGAGACTACGGAGAAGAACGATTCCGAAGCGCTCTGCAGTCACGCCAATGAAATCTACTGGAAGACCAAGAAGAAGGGTAAGTTCTCGCACCATGAATATAGCTCCTGGATCTCTAAATGTGAATCCCATTCCAGATGACGCTGATACGGTAACGGATCTGAGGGTGGAACTGGGGAATGCCAACAATACGAGACCGGCGGTTAAGCTGTTTTGGAAGCCCCCCGCCGATCCCAATGGCCAGATAATCTCATACGACCTGGAGTACACACTGGTGGGTGAGACGCAGGTGCAGACGCAGTGCATCCCCGCCTCAGAATATGGCAATCTGACCGAGGGCTATGAACTGAAGCTGACCGAGGGCGAGTACAGGTTCCGGGTGCGGGCCAATACCTTCGCGGGATACGGAACGTACACAGGATTCGAGAACCAAGTGGTGCCGGTGAGTTGAAGATTATTTCGTGGTATTTTTGGGCAACTACTGACAGTCTTCGCTCTCCATTGCAGTCACCCCAAAGCTTTGTGAAGCATCTCATCTGGATACTGTGCCTCATTGTCGGAGTGGTGTGCATCGCCTTGGTGATCGCCCTGCGGTCGCTGCGCGCCAAGAAGAGTCCCAACGAACTGCACATCAACACGGAGGTGAATCCGTTCTACCACAGTATGCAGTACGTGCCCGACAGCTGGGAGGTGTCCCGCGAAAGCATAATCCAGCTGGCGCCGCTGGGCCAGGGATCCTTCGGTATGGTGTACGAGGGTATCCTCAAGTCGATTGAAGGCACCGATCGTGAGTGCGCCATTAAGACGGTGAACGAGCATGCCACGGATCGGGAGCGAAGCAACTTCCTCAGCGAGGCCAGTGTCATGAAGGAGTTCGACACCAATCATGTGGTGCGGCTGCTGGGCGTCTGTTCGCGTGGCCAGCCGGCGCTGGTGGTCATGGAGCTCATGAAGAAGGGCGATCTCAAGTCCTACCTGCGTGCCCATCGCCCCGAAGAGCGGGACGAGGCCATGATGACGTATCTCCAGCGTATCGGTGTTACGGGGAATGTCCAGCCGCCGACCTACGGAAGGATCTACCGGATGGCCATGGAGATTGCGGACGGCATGGCCTACTTGGCGGCCAAGAAGTTCGTGCATCGGGATCTTGCGGCAAGAAACTGCATGGTGGCCGATGATTTGACCGTGAAGATCGGTGACTTTGGAATGACGCGGGATGTCTACGAGACGGACTACTATCGCAAGGGCACCAAGGGCCTGCTGCCCGTGAGGTGGATGGCGCCGGAGAGCTTGCGAGATGGCGTCTACTCCAGTGCCAGTGATGTGTTCAGTTTCGGCGTGGTCCTGTGGGAGATGGCCACCTTGGCGGCGCAACCATATCAGGGATTGTCCAACGAGCAGGTCCTGCGCTTCGTCATCGATGGCGGGGTGATGGAGAGACCGGAAAACTGCCCCGACCTGCTGCATCGTCTGATGGAGCGGTGCTGGCGGCACAGATACTCGGCCCGGCCCAGTTTCATGGACATCATTGGCTACCTCGAGAACCACTGCACAGAATCGGACTTTAAGACGGTATCCTTCTACCACTCGCCGGCCGGGCAAGCGCACCGCGAAAAGGAGCAGAAGGAGCGCAGCCAAATGGATGCACTGGCGGCGGTGCCGATCGATCAGGATCAGCAGGACGGCGACCAGCAGGAAGATGCCACAACGCCGTTGCGGGTGGGCGACTTCCAGGACTTCAAGTCGAACATGGAGCACAACTCGTCCCTGGACCAGCCGGCCGAGAGTCCCATCGCCATGGTCAACGACAACTCGACGCACTCCCCCCCCTTCAGCCTCAACTCGAGATTCATTTCGAGCAGTACGCCCGACGGCCAGACTGTGATGCCCACCGCCTTCCAGAATCTTCCGGCCTCCCAGGGCGACGATGCGGCCCCGTACGTGCTACCCGATACCGACGCCTTGGGCGAGGAGCGGGCCTACGAGATCTATGACCCCAGTCCGGTGGGGTACGACTTGCCGACGAGCAGGAGTGGCAGTACTGGCGGTGCAGGAGGCAAGCTGAGTGGCGAGCAGAATCTGCTGCCGAAGAAGTACCGGCAGCCGGTGGTGGTCATGAGCAGCTCCGTGCCGGACGACGTGATAGGAGGTTCCTCGCTGCAACCATCCACCGCCTCGGCGGCCAGTTCCAATGCCAGCTCCAACACCGGCCGCTATCCCAGCCTGAAGAGGGTGGTGGCCGATACCTTTCGCAACAAGGCCAACATGTTGAACCGCCACCTGTTCAACCACAAGCGGACGGGCAGCAATGCCAGCCACAAGAGCAACGCCTCGAATGCCCCCAGCACCAGCAGCAACTCCAACCTGACCAGCTACCCGGTGGCCATGGGCAATTTGGGAACGATCGAGAGTGGCGGCAGTGGATCGGCGGGTAGCTATACTGGCACGCCTCGGTTTTACACGCCCATGGCTACGCCGGTGGGCGGAGGACTCGCCATCAGCGACAATCCCAACTACAAGTTGCTGGACGAGTCGATGGGCAGCGAACAGGCCACCGTCCTCACCACCAGCAGTCCCAATCCGAACTACGAAATGATGCATCCGACCGAGAGTCTGATCAGCGACAATCCCAACTATGTGGCCATGACTGAGCCCCCGGTGCAGATGGCGGGGGTGACCATCAGCCACAATCCCAACTACCAGCCCATGCAGGCGCCGCTGCACAACCGGCAGACCAGCTCCGACGAGGACAACGAAGACGAGGAAGAGGAGGAGGAGGACGACGAGGACGAGGACGTTCACGTGGAGAACATCAAGATGGAGCGAATGCCGCTGAGTCGTCCCGCATCCCAGAGGACGAACTACAGCCGAACTCCGGGATCGCGCAGCCGGAGCAGCAGCCAAACGAGACGGTCGCCGACGAATCCCAACTCCGGCTCCCAGGTGGGCGCCTCGGCCAACAACATCCGCAAGGAGAACTGGCTGCGGCAGACGAGTTCGGCGCGACCTCCGCCCCCGAACGGGTTCATCGGTCGGGAGGCGTAATCCCTGAGGGTCGACCACCAGCTGTAAATATATGGGGGATAGGGGATAAAGGGAGGCAAACAGAGGGTAGCAAACTTTTGCCTGTAAGCCAAGTTTTCCTATACCCATGCCTGCAACCTGGGGTGGCAAGTTCTGCATATTTAGGACGAGGAAGGACTCGTAGGATCGTTTCCATTAGGCAAGCACAAGGATTCAAAATCTATCAGTAGACCCCATTCAAAATACCGAAAGGTATTAATATTTTTTTTTTTTAGACAATTTTGATGTTCTCTTGTGGAAGAGTGTGTGGTTGCCTTTAACCATAATTTTAAAAACGAAATTCATAGAATTTCTCCGATTTAAGAAAACTAAATGAATTTAAGAAAATGAAAAATATAATTTTTAAGAACGATCCTATGGTTCAATCCAACCAAAAAAATGGAAAGCTAGCCACCCCAAGTGCGTTTTGTAAATACAATATATTGCCAATAGTTTCGATTAAGCCTATTTATGTTTACGTATTCGTTTAGTATTTACACATTTTTTGTTTGTTAAAAAAAAAATGAATTAGAGAGAAAGAGAGAGAGAGAGAGAAGGGAAAAGCAGTGAAAGCAGAAGAAAGCAGAAAAACAGAAAACGAGTAAACAAGTCCTACATGCAAATAACAAAAGTACAAAAGCCAACAACCAACCAACCTAAGTACCGTTTAAATAGACATACAATTCTACCAATTATAACTTATAAATCATACCTACTACGTACATACATACAAACATATATTAATTATGATAATTTTTAGTACCTACCAAATCGCAGAGAGCAGAGGCGAGTGGAAAACAATAGAAAGCAATACAGAAGAACCAGAAGAACGAAAGCAAGAGTTACAACTGTCTTCACTGAGTTTAAGGATACAAATTAATTTTAAACGCGTGACGCAATTTTTATTTCATATCTCTCGTATAGATTCTTCTCTTTTTAACAAAAACAAAAAAAAAAAAACGCTTAAATGTAATTAATTTATTTTTGACCCGCACCTGTATATAGGAATGGTAAACGATGAGAATTTGCATAGGGTATATACATAACTGCGACAAAAGGCAAAAGTTTGTTCAGCTCCTTGGGATAAGACTATATCTATAACTATATCCTGCATAAGGTGTATTCGTAGGATCAGATCAGGTCTATAGCTATACGACTATCAGCGTAAGCAGAGCGCAGCCAGCAAAGGAGAAAACTTTTGTTCTAATTTTGTTCTAAATTAATTTTCGTTGAAGCCAAGCTTCGGAAAAAGTTAAAAAAAAAAAAATAATTAGAAATGAAAAAACGATAAAGTAATTTGAAGAAAAAAGAACCGAGAGCTTAAGTAACTGATGCATCATAATTATTGTATACAATCTGCTGTCGTTTTTTTATACAAATTAATGCTATATACGATGAAGATAATGAAAAACCAGATAAATCCATAGACTCAAATACAACATTTTTCAACTAGACCTAATAATGATAATATCTGCCATACGCCATTAACTCAAATATGAACAAGAAACCGGACGGATTTTTTCTATTTAATTTAATTATTCAAATTAATAGTTCATAGTTAAAAACAATAGACAAATTCTATATCGATCCTATCCATAGATATATTTACACACACACACTTACACACACCTATTACACATAATTAAGAACTGAACGTGATATGTTTGCTGAGTGTACTATCCTGACAGTTCTAAGATATCCAACAGAAAAGCCCCAAACCCCATCCATCACACACAACAACAAAAACAACAACAACAACATTCTCTAAAAGTCCAATATAAAAAATAGTTCACTTTTTGTCAAGTGCAACCCATAAATAAATAATTAAAGTTAATCAGCAAACAGAAAAACAGTAACAGTAACAGTAAAACATTAAATTTAACGACAACAACAACTGCAACAAATGGAATTTTTAAACGAAAAACAACAACAAAAGTATTCGATATTTGCCTTCGCTCTTTATATTATTATATTTAACTACTATATACATACATAAATAATTAATTAATTACCAATTAATTAAATGAGAATGAGAATGGAGAACGAAAACGACACACATTGTAAGCATGTGCAAGGTTTTTTGTTTTTATTTTTATGCAAAGCGAAAACATGGAAACTAAATATTTAAATGAATTATACAAAACGCTTAGATTGTAATCATTGTAGGAATTAGTGAGGGAAAGTGAGGAATTAGTGAGAGAAATTATAAGGAGAAAGCCGGCTGCAGAAAGGCTTCAAATAATTAAAAAAAAAGGAAGAAAAAGAACTAGTGCTAATTATATAAACAAAACTGGGAAGCAAGCGATATTTACACTGAAAAAAAAATGAAAAAAAATACAAAACAAAAACAAAAAAGAAACACAAACGTAAAAAATTAAATTAACTATATAATACGCTAAATATATAACGAAATAGATATTGTACACAACACATGCACACAGATACCCATATACACACATTACATACATAACACATATATACACACACACACACTAAAAAGACTGAAAGATATAGTTCCTTTTGTTTTTATGTACATAATGAGGAAAAGAAAAAAGAGAAAAATTGTAACAAAAATTGTAAACTTAAAGCGATGATATAACGGAGTGGTCGTAAAAACAATTAATGGAATTATACATTAAACAAGTTAAATTAAATGAAATAAAAATTTATAAAATGAAGAAAGAAGCAGCAAAGCATTATGCAACATTATGTAACATGTAACATTTAGTAGTCGAATTAACTAAATTTTGTAACATAAAGTGGACATGTGAGCGCATTAGCGACAACGCCAAATATCAATTTATTATATAGCGATATATATCCAGGATCGTTTGGCCGTTCTTCGCTGCTTTAATGTACATAAATGCAAACATTTGAATAAACAGTACCATTTAAACAACTTATTGTAAACTAAATACCCATAAATATTGTAAACAAAACATAAAATGAGAAAAAAAAACAAGAAAAGCTTCAATATTTTTATTATTTCTAATTAAAGATAATTGTAAAAATAATGCTAAGTTAATTGTTTCCTGTTTGTTTAAGCAAAAAAAAAGTAATAAAATTAAAAAAAAGGAAATATAAATAAACTGCAACAACTATACGTAACAAAGTTTTGGAAAAAAAATAGGAAAGTTTTCTATTTACATGATAGGGTGGGGTGGGGTCTTTTCTTTAGGGTTTTGAAAAAAAAGTCAAATACACAATGGAATAATAATATAATTAGGAAAAATTTGAAATTTTATTCAAAAGCTTAAAAGTAACGGATGGAAATTTAATTGTGATGGGCAGCACTTCTAGTCAAAAATATATGGCAACTTTCTATAGCCTTGCCAGAAGGGTAAAAATCGAAATCGTTGAATGTTGTTGAATGTTTTGGGAGAATTCTTTTGTTTCTAACGCGATGAGCCACATTATTTGAGCAGCTTGGCTAAGACCCAGCCGGCTGCGTAGAGCCGGATAGACTATTCGGCCGAAACCGAATAAACCATTGTACATTTGGGGGCGATAGAGCTAGGAGCACATCTGGTAAGCGTTTGTAAACAAACTCCGACACATATGCTAATTTTGTGTGCCTGCTGTTTTGGGCCTATTATGCAAAAACTAGTTTCTGCGACGGTTGTTGAACTCTTGACACTTGACTGGCTGGCCGGCAAAAATATTGATAATCGCCCCGGGGCTCAATCAGAACCGAAACAGAATTCGTGGTGTCAGCACATTTGGTGGGAGCTCAGATAAACGGCGGCAACGAAACGAGTCACATGGAAGTGTCCAAAATGAGCGTGCCGGAGTTGGTTATATGGTGAGTTTTCCTATTAAATCCACGTGTGGGGTCATGCTAAACATCCTTTATATTCTATAAACAGCTCCTTCATTGTGGTCAGCCTGCTGGTCATACACTTCTTCTCGGATCTGCTGCGGGCATCTTTGGGAGGCCACTATAGCCAGGATGTGACCCTCTCCCATCTTGTTGAAGCCCAGAGCTCGGATTATGCCTGGTTGCTGAAGCTCCTGGTCAACTGCTTTGGCTACAGTTGCGTCTTTGTGCCAGGATATTTGATTTACAAATATGTGGCACGAACCAACTACCTGGAGAGGGGCAACAAGACGTGCTTGTACCGGGCCGTCAACATGTGCATCACTGGCAACTCCAGTTACGACCAATTGGAGCCGCTTGGCTCGTCCCCGGCAGACAAGGAACGACCTGCGGTGTCCACACCACCGAAGAGAACTAGCTCCCAGGAGGCAGTGCAGTTGATGTGGTGTTTTGGCGGCCTTATGGTGTCCTATCTCACGTGGGGTGTCCTGCAGGAAAAGATAATGACGCAGCACTATCTGAACTTTGCCGGCGAGAGTTCCAAGTTCAAGGACTCTCAGTTTCTGGTGTTCGCCAACCGACTGCTGGCCTTTCTGGTAGCTCTGGTGTATCTGCAGTGGCAGCCGTCGCCCGTCCGACACCGGGCACCTTTGTACAAGTACTCCTATGCCTCCTTCTCGAATATAATGAGTGCCTGGTTCCAGTACGAGGCCCTGAAGTTCGTCAACTTTCCCACTCAGGTGCTGGCCAAGTCCTGCAAGATAATCCCCGTGATGCTGATGGGTAAGATTATGTCCAAGGCCAAGTACGAGACGTACGAGTATGCCACGGCATTGCTCATCTCACTGGGCATGATCTTCTTCCTTGGCGGTTCCTCGGATAGCTCTAAAGCCAGCGGGGTGACCACTTTGACGGGAATCTTTCTGCTTTCCATGTACATGGTTTTCGATAGCTTCACTGCCAATTGGCAGGGATCGCTCTTTAAAAGCTATGGCATGACCTCGCTGCAGATGATGTGTGGCGTGAATCTCTTCTCGTCGATCTTTACCGGAGCATCGCTGTCCATGCAGGGCGGATTTATGGATTCCCTGGCCTTTGCCACGGAGGTATGTGCTTGAAATGTTTAACCCACCCGTCCTACCTCACTCAAACTTTGTTTATTTTCAGCATCCAAAGTTCGTGTTCGACATGGTTGTGCTCTCTATTTGCTCAGCGGTCGGCCAATTGTTTATCTATCACACAATTGATGTCTTCGGCCCAGTTGTGTTTACTATCATCATGACTCTGCGTCAGGTGAGTGGAATGTTTTTGGCAGTGTATTTACTCAACTGTGTTCTCACGAGGAATGTGTACTCTCCTTTCCCAGGCGGTGGCCATTATGCTCTCGTGCTTCATCTACCAGCACAGCATTTCGGTGCTGGGCTTCTTTGGCGTCTTGATCGTCTTCGTGGCGATATTCTTGAGGGTCTACTGCAATCAACGGATGAGGGCGCTGCGCAAACGGGCCGAGGCTAACAAACCCAAGATGGCAGTATAACACCAGACGGGGATTCAACTCGAATGCAACGCACAGACTTCCTAAATGCATAAAAATATATAAAAACCTTCTTCCAAAGCCAAATCAGAGGCAGCTTATCATCCCCTCACTCCCACTTTTGTACAGGTTTTGTTTCCTAGTGTTAGTCGTAAGTTGAATGTATACTTGTATCCTTAAATTGTAAGCCTAGACGCCTCACATGTGTGCTTAAATAAATATTTTATATAACAAAAATGCTTCGAAAGTTTCTTTCTTCTTATAAGATATCTTATATATGTGTCTATCTTATAAAACCGTCTTTTATATAATATTGTTTAAAATAAATTTAAAAGGTTTTTGTTATTTTAAGATCCGAACAACTAAACTGGCAACCGTTTAAGCTAAATTTTGTGACTAATCCATGTTTTTAGATAACAATATTTAGTTATTTTCTTGGTGATTTATTACTCATCATAGTACCCTAACGGAGGGTATTATATTTTGCTTATTATTGCTTAAATACGGTTTTCAAATTTTTAGAATTTTTCCAAGGGGTACCCTCATAAAATTGTGGTTTTTCCTTATTCCCCACTTTTGTCCCTTCCGATTGCTATAGCTCTGCCATTTGTATCCGATCAGGAAATAAAGTACCATTTTGTAATCAGGAAACCTAGAAGTAACTTTCCTCATTCAAAACGTCCCTTGCGATGGCCATAGCTCTGCCAATTTATATCCAATCGGAAAATAAAGATACAAAATAAAATATTTTATTTTTAAATTATATATTTTTTTATTTTATGGAGATTTTAGTTTAAAGTTGGCTTTCCCTTTCAGTTCAGTTTTTGTTATGTATTAACAATATATAAAAAGCTTTTTACTTTCAAGTAAGCAAGTAATAAACTAAGATGAATGTAATTTTTTTATTAAACTGTCACATAGTTTTTATAATATGAAACAATTTCTGACTTTGAGAAAAAGTTGATTAATGGTCGGTACATCCGTACTTCCCCTCCAATCCAATTAATTAGTCAGACTCCCAGGTTAAAACAAAATCGGTGCAGTAGCCACTAAGACCTATCAAGACATTGACCCACTTTCGGGTTACATTTTTGGCAGAAATGTGAGTTTTTGCTTTCGGTTCAGGTCAATGCACATGAGTTCCCCGAGTGTAACATGTATTTTTTCCCCCGGACTATTGTTGTGCCATGTGGGCGATTAGACTCCGATGATGATGATGGCGGTGGATTTGGGTGGGCGGCCCGAATTACCATATCACAACAATGATGCCCTGGAAAAATGCGAGGCAATAAAAAAGGGCGTTATGCAATCGCCGGTGTCTGGCTGCCTTCTAAGGGAATAGCAACCAATTTGCCAAATGCGAGTTGGCTGGTACATTTTGTTTTTGGCTTTTTGCACACCGGCCAAGGTGATAAGTTGGGGCGTACTCCGCATTAGAGGCATTAGTTAGTGCCCATCCCGCTGAGCGTGCAGAAGTCTTCCACCGGCAATCGAATCGAATCGCGTTTTCAACATGAAACTCTTCCTTTTGCTCCTTCTAGGAGCTTTGGGGTCCGTAATGGCCTATCCGCGAACCTACAGTTACGACTATCCCCGTCGCAGGGGCTACTCCTCCTCGTATTCGGGCAGCTCTTACAATTCCCTGACCAGTCGCAAGGCCAGGGAGGAGAGCACCACCAAGTCGGACAAGGAGAATGCCAAATTTGCGGGTGCCTCTAACCAGGAGTTGGATGAATCGAATGGAGATGAGCGCACCCTGCTGTTGAAGAAGAAACTGAAGCGGTTGGCGCGCCCATATCTGGGGGGTTATGGTGGATACGGCGGCTATGGAGGCTTCGGTGGATACGGGGGTTACGGTGGATATGGTGGTCCCTGCTCTCCTTTCGGTCGTGATGCCAAGGGAAGCCAAAAGGATCCCGACGAGCAGGGCAGGTTCCTGTTCGATGTGAATGTTTACAAAGTGTATCCTGGAGGATGTCGCGGCTATGGAGGCGGCGGTCTCGGTGGCCTTGGTGGCGGAGGCCTCCTATCGGATCCCGTGCCACAAGTGCCAGTTCCCGTTCCAGTGCCAGTGCGTCCGTATGCTCCTTTTGCCACTTGGCTGTCGCTGTTTGCTCCTGGAGTCCTGCAGGCTGCCACAGTGCCAGGTGTACCTCTAGCAGATCCCATTCGTCCAGCTCGTCCTGCGGGAGATGCGCAAAGCGATCCTGAGGTGGATCCAAACTATGCTCCGTTGCCTCCAGTACGCAGACCTGTCCCCAATCGGGTCTACTATGATTCTGCAGGAGCGGTAAGTTTTCTTTCTCAGAATTCTGAGAAATTTATAAAAATTTCCTAATAATATGTATTTTTAGCCTCCTGTGACACCTGCTCAATTAGTTGGAGGCGTTGCCACAACCGTTAACGGAATCATCCAACAGTTGACGGGACAGGTGCAGCCAGTTTATCAAACTGGAGTCTACAGGTCAAGAAGCCAGCGAAGCACTTATGGATAGGCATAATTCAACGAATTTAATGTATTTTAAGTAATATGGTTTTTGTGTAAATAATTAGATAATAATATAAGAACGACTTAAAAAAGGATATTTTTTGTTTATATTAAGTTCTCAAATAAGAAGAAATTTCCTCAAAAATTTTTAGTCTTTGACCACCCAGTAAGATTAAAGCTAGGAATTCCCAGCCTTCTCCAGGCAATGGATTAGTCATGCCCACACATAAATCTCGGATCTATGGTCATTAAATTTATGCACGTCGCGTCTGCTTCATTAAAGCCACAGTGAGAGAAGAGCCAAGGACAATGTTCCCCCTTCAGAAACCGGATTTAGGTGATCATAAATTGAGGGTATTGTTTCTGGTTTTGGAATCGTTTTTATTTTTTTTTATTTCGTTTATTTTACAATCTACAAAGTGCGGATCACAAGCACTTAACTTAACTAACCAGGTGGATCACAGGTGGGGCGAGGTAGAGATTCTACTTTCCAAAGAAACCATTGCCTCCATAGCCACCGTTGTAATATCCATTGGCGTACTGCGATTGGCTATAGTGGCCTCCGTAGGAACCACCCTGGTTGTAGTAGGATCCTCCACCAGGATAGAAGCCTCCGTGGTGGGGACGATGTCCAAAGCCGGAGTAACCGCCTCCGGGATAGTAGCCACCTCCAAAGCCACCACCGCCATAGCCTGGATAGCCAGAGTATCCACCATATCCTCCGGGATAGCCACTGGCATATCCGCCAGGGTAGCCACCTCCGCCAAATCCACTGTACAGGCCACCACCTACTCCAATTCCAGCACTCAGGCCCACACTGCCACCTAATCCTCCGCCGAGGAGGCCAAAGGTACGGCCCTCGGCCTTTACCGGCGCCGCCTGACCTTGACCTAGGGCAACAGCCATCAGAACAGCCAACAACTGAAGAAAACAAGTCCAATGAGCAAGTGCATCCACAGCGAAAATATCGTCTTTAAACTTACACAACTCGCACGAATCACTGCCATTCCGGTATTGAACGCTTCTTGTAGAAAACTAAATTGCAATTGTCGAGCGCCCGTGGCTTTTATACCGCCAAGCCAATCTGGCTAAGAAGCTTTAAGTACGCGCTCCGCATTGCCAAGTGATTCTACGCAAATTGCAGAACAAACAGACAGCGAAAGCGAAACCAGTTTGTGACGAAATCTCGGAATCCCCATCAGAGACAATATACATACTTATGTATTATCTCTGCTTCACTGGGCCTCAGAATGCCTTAATTTTTTCGGAGCTGCCCAAAAACTAAATTATCATTTTTTCGAGGGTTACCTTTAGTTGCCGGTCGATCGTGGTAGCTTGTGGAAAACCCAATAAAAATAATCACTGAAGCGATCGCTAACTACAATCACTCGGTTGATTTTCAAGATCACCAAGAAAGGCCGGAACTATGAAGATTACCCTTGTACCTTTTCGTAAATATTTGTTCATGGTGTAAAGTTACAGTATCAGATTATAAAGTTAACCCAGTTTAAAACTACCATCAACAAAGCCGTTCTTACTTCAGAGTATTTCCCATCGATGCAAACAACTAAACCCCCCCACCAAACAAAAGACTTAGGCGACAAACTTTGGCGAAGAACGTGCACCGAAGCAGGTCGGGTGGGACGACCCGCATTTGTCGAGCTCATTAGCACTTGTTGCTGCTGTTGGTGTTCCGGCAGATCCAACTTTATGACTAAGTACGAATCTAATGTCCTATATTATGTCTTGTTGATTCTGGTCAATTGTTACGCCTTCACTTTCGGTTCACAGTTTATTCACCTTAGGATGATAATTTGTCTGACGTCAGTGGAGATACCATAGATAGACCAACCCACATATATGCTAGTCAGGAAATTGTAGTTGGTACCGATGACATCGTGGGTAATGTTGAAAAACAAAGATATTATAGATTGATAAATAGTCAAGTGTTCTGTGAGAAGTGTAAAACTTTGATACATTTGTAGAATATTAATGAAACTTTGACGAATGAAAATGACAGGGATGAGCGAATTTCATTGTGATTTCATTTGCTTACTTAAGAGTCTGAAGTTAAGATGTATGAAATCAAATTTTCTGTAGAAGATATACATATTTTAGACTTTGTCAATTTTTATTTTAAAACAATGGATCTAATAGTACTTAAGCTCTCATGACTGCACTAAGGTTCAACGACCAATAGATATTCACAATACCCAATGTTGTATTATCTAAACTCCAAGTAGCTCTGTACTAATGATTATAGTCTCGAATTTGTTCTGTAATTATGCAAAATCTCATTATTGTAATTACTTCCAAAATATACTTCCGTCTTCCATGACTATAAGAATGGCAGACTTTAATCAAACGCCATTGAGTTGTTCGGCAGCCATGAAGGTGGGAGTTTATTAAACATTCTGTTAGCTCCTCTGACTAAATTGCAAATTCGGATTATTTTTTAGTATTTCACAATTTGTTTCCTGATGTGCTGCCTAAGTGCCGGAATACTGAGTGCCCCCCAGTGGCCAGGATCAGGATTTGGCTATGGATTCTCTCCTTACGGCGGATACGGTGGATATGGCGGATACGGAGGAAGCTATGCCTCAGCTAGTGCAGCGGCCAGCAGCAGTGCTGGTGGATATCAAGGATTTGGCTATCCAGGATACGGAGGCTTTGGAGGATACGGTGGAGGATATGGTGGCTACCGGCAGCAGTATAATCAGTTTAGCAACTACAACAACTTTGGATCCTCCGGCTATGGGGGCTATCCATTTGGCCGATGATTCGGTGTGAGGGCCAAAACGTTTTCTATTTGTTTGGGGCAACTGCTAGAAATTTCTGTCGGTGTCCGTATTTTGTTTGATTTCTTTATTTGGCTTTTAATACGCTGGAGGTCAATAAAACGTAAATACCCAAAATGATTCACCCAAGTGTGTGTTTTTTTTATTTCATGAATTTATGTATTACAATTTTTAAATTACAAATTATAGTTCTTTGGAGTTTTAGTTGGACAGGGAATAGTTAATATATATTATCTATCTATAAACTAAAGAATCTTTTAAATTGGCACAGTAAGTCATCAGTTTGCCATTTAAATCCCATGCCTTACTGTTCATTCATTTTTTTTCCATTTCTTTTCTCAAGCCCACTTTTTCGATTTTTTGCTCTCAAAAAACCTGAAATTTTCAGGGGCAAACCATGTGCATAAGGCAAATATAAACCACAACCTGAAGTTCACCGAAAACGAAGACAAACAAGACTTTTTAAGCGCCTGATTGCATAAGGGCAGTCCGAATCGCTCAGAAAACGCGTCAACGAGATAAAAACGCGTCTCCGGCCAAGCTGCCGCTTCAATTGAACACGCGTCGTGGTCCAAGTTCAAGCCAAAAGACCAGCTTCGTCATCAGCCCACACATTTGAACTTGAAGATTTTACAAGATATAATAATTTTCAAAAATAAAATACCTTTGTCCGTTCCAAAAACAGATTTAATCAATTAACGTCGCATTAAGAAGACATAAAAAACATGCAAATCATTGTAAGTGATGGATAATGAATTATTTTAATTGAAAAACATAAAAAAAAACATTAAAACATTGTTTATAATTGTGAAAAATAAAAGTGAACCTAATCTGACCATTTAAAATAAATGGAAAGTGCAAGAACTTAAAAATCCCTAATGCAATGCAGAGTTGTAATCTCGTAATCATCATCATTTCAGCGACATTCTCTAATCCTTTTCCTGGGACTATTCTTCCTTCTTCAACTGAAAGATGCCTCCGCCGCCAAAATAAAATTACTTGGATTTAAGGGGCCGCACGCCGGCTTTATTGGCCTTAAAGTTCGGACCCCCAAACATCTTGGTTTAAAGTCTGGACTAATTGGTGGCGCTGCTGGATTGGGACTCGGAACCGCCATTGGAACCAAGCTTGGAGCAGCAGGCGCAGGATTGGCAGGAGCAACTTTGGCGGCACCTGCCTTGCTCGGAGCCGGATTAGTGGGGGCAGGGATAGGCGCCAAACTGGGTAGCGCTCATGCTGGCGGCGGCGGTGGATATGGCGGTCCTGGTTACGCCCCCGGCTATGGAGGACCTGGATTCGGCGGTGGATATGGCGGAGGTTTTGGTGGTGGCTATGGAAAAAGCAGTGGCTATGAACACCACGAGTACCACCACGAAGAGAGCCATTACAGCAGCGGAGGTGGTGGCTATGGAGCCGAACCTTGGGGAAAATAGGCTATAATAAGTTAATATCATTTGTTTGCCATTAGAATCCAATGTTATTGTTATTTAGTTTTAATTCATTTGACCATTTACATTTACATTTTTAAAAACATAATAAAATCGTAAATATTTAAAAACTATAAACTAAATGTGTTTTATTTCAAAGTATTTCAAAGTTCAAAGTATGCTAAAGGGACAGTCCCTTTTTAAGGAATAAATTTTGTTTCCTTTTTTGTTTTTGAAAACTTTTTAATCAATAATTGTTGTATTAAAAAGATTATCGTAGTAAAAATGTATTTTACTTTTATTTTACAATTTTCTTACATAGAAAATAAAACCAAACATAGATGGCGCTGCATGAGGAACCCTATAGCGGTCGATTGACACATGTTAGCTATCAAGTTTCCGTAGTGTAGTGGTTATCACGTGTGCTTCACACGCACAAGGTCCCCGGTTCGAACCCGGGCGGAAACAGATCTTATAATTTTTTGAATTGTATTTTATTTATAAATTTACGGTCCTTTTTTTTACTTCAATGCTTAATTTTATTTAATTTTTTAATAATAAAAACGCAAAAACCTAGATTTTAAACTAAGGGATTTAAATAAAAAATGTTTTTAATTAGTAAATGAGTTATTTAAGTAAACACTTTTAATAAATATAATATAAATGAAAATTTAAAAAAATTTATAAAGAAGTAATTAAAGATATAAAAGTAAAATAATAAATATTTTGAAAACAAAAAGTTTCATGCCGGGCTCAACCGGGATTTGAACCCGGGACCTCTCGCACCCAAAGCGAGAATCATACCCCTAGACCATTGAGCCGCATGAACGATGGTAGCATTTTTTCAGTTTTGTGCCAGCGGGTTGTATTTCGCAGTTGGGTATTTTAGAGTTAGTTGGGTAAAAATAAATAATGTAAGCAAACCATCTGTCTCAGGGGACAAAAATAAATCAACATTTCAGGTTGTGTCAACATAGATAAATATAAGAGTTTATTTTTAAAAACTTAAGCAATAACAATCAGCGTCTCTTCCAGATGCCGCCTCCGAAACCACCCCCAAAGGCCGAGGCACTGGCCGAGCTGAATGAAGATGCATAACTCTGGTATCCACCGAATCCGCCACCCAATCCCCCAAATCCACCCTTCCAGCCAGTTTTGATGGGAATCACCACTGGCTGGGGCACTGGAACGGGAACGGGCTGGGGAATGGCAACGGGTACTGGCACTGGTTGGGCCACCGGAATCGGCTGGGCAACTGGATAAGGTACAAAGTTGTTGTAAACTGGAGCGTAACCCCCGCCGAACTTTCCCCCGAATCCGTGGGACTGTCCCAGTCCCAGGAAAGCCATCAGAAGAATCGTTATCTGAAGAGGCAATAGGTATAATTGATTTTGTGTGTAAAAGATATATCACTTACAGTGGAAGTCGCCATGATATGAAATGGTTCTAAGCATGTCCAAGTCTAAAGCAGCCGTATTTATAGCAACCTCCAGCACTTCCTGAACTTCCTTTTCGCGAAGAGTTCAAAGAACTGGCAAAAAAACCAGCTTTACAACCGGTTACCAAGTCAATCAATTTTTATTGTGGCAAAATTTAGTCGCAGCAACTAACGCAGAATTATAGCAAATCGTGAGAAAAACATTGAATTCGGTTAAGTTCAGTGGGGTTGAAGGTCTCCGGTCTCCAGTCATAGAGCATCGATGTGTTCCGGGACCATGTGGGCGTTGGTTTATGTATATAGAACATTGGGTATATAAACTGAAACCGCGATTGGCTTAGCAAGTTAGTCAAGTTCCAGACGAATTAGCAACATGGCCAAGTTTTGCTTTAAGGTGAGCGATTATTGAAGATTATATTTAAAGAAAAGGATTTTCACAAAATCATTTCACAAATTTCAGTATGTGGTGATCCTGTCCCTCTGTGCCTGTTCGATGGCCCAGTATCAGTATCCCCAACAGAGACCAGCACCAGCAACTGAAGGTGCTCAGCCCGCTGGTGGCCCAGTCGAAAATCGCATCTTTGGTTTGGAAAATCTATTTGGCGGTGGCCGGGGAGGTGGCCTTTTTGGAGGTGGTGGCGGTTTGCTGGGACCCTTGGCCGGACTCCTAGGCGGTAATCGCCCACAACCACAGCCGTACCCAGTTCCAGTGCCGGCATACGGTGGCGGATATCCGTATGGTGGTGGCTTTGGTGGTGGCTTCCCAGGAGCTTACCCCAACCCCTATGGAGGCGGTTTTGGCGGCGGCTTTGGCAGTCCCTATGGCGGCTACAACGGCTAAGCTAATAAGCTGTTGAATTCCATCAAGTATTATTTGAAAATGTTTATGAGATTATTTTTAAGTTGTTGACATTGGAATATAACATTAAAATTCATGTAAAAAATTGTGTGTCTTGTCTGTTGGTACTTTGGCTGAGGTACAAACACAAGGGGATGTAGCTCAGATGGTAGAGCGCTCGCTTAGCATGTGAGAGGTACGGGGATCGATACCCCGCATCTCCAATCGATACTTTTTTTTTTTTTAATTTAAGCTAGATAGCTTTCGTTTATTTTTTTTTTATTTTAAAATTTACTTCATATTTGTTACCACGGAATTATTTTTTAAAAGAACAGAGAATATATAAAATTTACCTGTTTGCAGAAAGTTAAATACGCTTATGGTGATGCGGCAGGCATGCGGCTCAATGGTCTAGGGGTATGATTCTCGCTTTGGGTGCGAGAGGTCCCGGGTTCAAATCCCGGTTGAGCCCAGCTCACTTTTTTTCTTTTATTTTATTTTTTCAATGTTTTTTTTATTTATACAGAGTAATTTTAATATTTTATTTAAAATGTAAGATGTAAATTTAAAATGTTATGTAAAAATATACATCATTTAAAAAAAACTATGAATTTGTATTATTTTAGTTGCTATCAAAACGATATTAGTTTTAGGAACTACTGGAATCAAATTATTTTTGAAAAAAGGAAACATAGTCAAACTACTAAAAATAAGCGTAATTTCAAAATTAAAAACAGAACGTTACTATTAAAAAAATATTAAAAAAGTTGTATCGAATTGGAGATGCGGGGTATCGATCCCCGTACCTCTCACATGCTAAGCGAGCGCTCTACCATCTGAGCTACATCCCCGACGGACATTGTGGTGCCAAAGGCTCTAGTTGTTACAAGTCCTTTCCCTCTTTGCTATGATTTTGTCCAATTCATTTTGTGATGACCAACAAAACTTGTTTTTTTTTTGCCCAGATACATATATGCTTTAGCCTTGAGTGTGCTGACTGGAAACTTGATAAGAAGTGAGCGATGCGGGTTCCTTTGCAACAAACTTATGCATTTAATTTCCGTTTCCGGTCAGTGAAAGTTGCTGGAAAGAAAACAAAAACACCTGGGAGTTGAAACTCCCCCACCAGTTCTTTGAGTAAACACAAATCGGCCCTAGGAAAATTGCATGGGGAAGGCCAACATCCAACGCCTAAACATTGGGAATCTGGGTAAACTGCGATCCCTGTCCGAAGCTACTTGGTCAGATCCCTTTACTATCTCAGCACTTTCACACTTCTGTTTATTCAACTGTCGTTCGCTGGGCAGAAAGCATATTTGTTTGTTTCTGGCACGCCCCTCCCTTCCCGGTCATGGGCACAGCTCTATTATTATTTTCACAAGTTATATAAAAATAATAACAAGAGCAACCGACTCCTACTGCTGGCCAAGCCAATGCTGGATGGCCATCCATTATGCTGTCGGGCATTTATTTGCCAAACAATTGAATCTCTCTCCTGCTCCTTGGGCGGCAACTTGCAACCAACCACTTCATCAGCCATCCTTGTTGGCTGCTATCTTATGGTTTATGATGGAATCAAAACAAATGCCGGAGCATCCTTCCATCGTCCAGGACCTCAAGGAAGGCACGAGTATGGGTATGATGATGAGTTTGTTTATGCAGATTGCTTCTGGAGTTTTTCGTTTGGCGATAATGGATATATGGACATGTGAGTCTCTGGATGGATATAACCCTTTTTTGAGGATTTTTAAGAGAGCTTCACCACTTACAGAATTTAGTTGGTAGTGTAAACAAAATGATTTTAATTGCTTAACGTAGTTGATAGAGTTTGACATTAAATACGAGAAGGTTTGTGAATCTTTTACCCAAAATACGAAGAAAAAATTTATTGGATTGCAAAACTTTTATTTTTAACTTTTTAATTTTAACTTTTAAAAACTCTTCCTAGTTTTTGAAACACAAAAAATGCACATATTTTTGGAAAAATTCGAAATGTTTTGTTTTAAGAAAGTTCTTTTTTTTTTGTTTTACACTTTTACAATTAAAATGGTATTGTTTTCTTTTACTTTGTCTACGCTGTTTACTTAGGGCAGCGTTTCCTCCGGCTTCCAATTATTCCGTTTATTCCAGTTACCCCAGTGGCAATGGTATTGGTAAAGGTCCTGGCCGTTGTCCTGCCGGACCCAATCCATAACTGCCGGCACTGGCGGATGCCACGCCCGTTGGTGAAGGTGGTAGTACTGCTGGAGGTGGTGGACCTAACGGCGGTGATCCCCCGCCAAAATACCCGTAGCCTAGCGGATTTGATCCTGTGGCCGAGTTCTGATCATTTTGATAAATGTAGACATTACTGTTGCCCTGGGCCTGCTGTTGATTCAGGGGCGTTGTGTAGAATCCTCCGGGAGTGGCATAGTAACCAGGTTGCGGACCGATGGCCGCTGGATTGCAGCCGTATACGGGGCAATTATAATAGCCGGAAACTGGGTAGGCAGGTCCTGCAAATATCGGATCTGGATTGTGGTATGCCATCCACCGATTACGCCAACGGCGAAATAACGTTCCCAAAAAAAAGAACGAGCGGCCATCGACGGGCTCCGGTCCTGGGTTCTCATCTATATCGGGGTCCATTGGGGCTTCCAAGGCTCCCCGGCTGCCTGCCAGGATGAGCAGAAATACTAACTGGAGCACTGACATTTTTCCAACTGCATCGGGTGGAGTCTGTGGGTGAACTATTTTCCATTCTTTCATCCGAACCAGAGAGTCGATTTAAGACGGGTGCCTAATGGGCCTTGTAATGAACATTCGAGTGCTGTAACTTCGTGCAAGCCAACAAACCATGAAGATATATTAATATTAAATGCCTTTCAAGGTTGCCAAGAGTCTAATATTTTCTTAAGCACAACAAATGCTAAAAATTAAACCCATATGAGTGCCATTCAAACACAAATATATATGAGTTTGGAAATTAGTTAAGATTAGTTATTTGATTAGATTACCTTAGGCATTGAGCCGCCACGGTCTGAAATTGGCAAAAAAAATTCAGCGGCGCCCTCATCGGGGATGTAGCTCAGATGGTAGAGCGCTCGCTTAGCATGTGAGAGGTACGGGGATCGATACCCCGCATCTCCAAATGGTTAATATTTTTTTTATTTTAATTTTAAATATATCTGTATCAGCATTTTATATAAAAATCATGCTAATCATTTTTAAACTTTTAGAATTCTTTGTAACGTAACGGCACGTGCCAGCAATTTTTCATTATTAAAAAAAAAGAAAAACTTAAAATTTCGACTTTGGCTGCCTGATTTTATTTTGCCACATTACATGTTTTTGTGGGGGTAAGAAAAACGTTTTGAGTTATGAGTTTTGCGTGCCAGGTGTACCAAAATATAAGGGTACTTGACTTTAGTCAAAAACGCGACCTTTCCGTACCCAGTGATGAGAAAGAACGACCAAGAAAATACTGAGCCGACAGAATTTAATAATGATTTCGCTATAAAACAACATACCCAGCATATCCTCGCGGAGGCTTGCGAATAAAGTGTGCAAAAAACAGGTGACAACAATCAGTGAAAGGTGAAAGTGGGGTGAAGGTGTAAGCGAAAGGCGCCCATCCGTGTCTGGGAAAACAAAAACAACAGCAAGAAGCGAGAGCAAGGGCTGTGAAAATTCACGCGCCTGTGAAAATTTCGCACGTTTTTATGGCCATAGCCACCACCCATAAACTTCATATGCCTCCCGATCTACCACCCACTTGGTTAGTATCAGAATTTGAGTAATGGCCACATAGATTAACCCGTAACCGTTTGATTTCTGTACGACGACTTTCATTTAATTAAAAAAATATGCAAAGTCAACAGAAAAACTAGAAACCAAATTAGAGAGCAACGGACAGAGAAACTTTCCATAAACTTTGTTGCCATCAAAACAATAAAAACCGCAATCCTCGACCGGACCTCGCCTTTGTTATCGAAGCTCCAAACGGACAATGGACAATGGCCGAGTGTCCTTTTTTACGACAAAGCCAAATCCGGCGGAACCACATAAATTATGTTAATGCCTATGCCATGTACACGCCCACAATGTGCGACTTCGTCCGCAATGCCAGTCTGTCCGGTATAATCAGAAAAATACACAGCACACTGCTGGCTGCTGGACGAGGCAGAAGGACATTTGCTTAGTGGTTTTGTGTGATAGTTTTTGTGCCATGTCCATGGAGAAAATTGCTGACAATTGCTAAAAATCCCGGGTGACGATGAGGTCCGGAATCCGGATCAGCATCCAGGGTGGGTGAGACTGGGCATTGCAAATGATATATCTGTGAACACATGTCGGGGGCGGGCAATGAGCCAGCCTGGGCAAATATTGCCGGGATAGATATTTGTCGGGACTGCCAAACTTCGAGATGATCAAATGGTAGTTCCTTGGCAAAGCTATTTCACCAAACTATCATATCCTCCGCCGATAAGTGAAGTCCAACCAGCAGCCAGTCCCTGGCAGACACACAAATATTAATTCTCTGTAGGAAATTAGAAAAGGAGATTGCTGTATCCGACTGGGCAACACAGAAAGGGAAGACCCCAGAGGAAGGACATTGGAAATTAAATGTATAAAAATTATTAAACTCTGGCTGATGTGTGTATTGTAAGGATTGTCAGAAGTTTGTTTTTGTCGCACTGTTGTTTCATAATTATGTGAGGCCCGGAGTTATCATTGGGCTTGAGTGCGTTTGGGTATAAAAAACAAAGATAAGCCCTTGTTGGGGAGTGCATGTAAATAAATTGAAACAAATAAGCTGGCTGACGGCTAATTGCAGGCAGTCGGCAGTCGACGACGGGCCACCTCCTGGCATTTTTCTCGCAATTGAAAAGCTGTTCTGTTCCATTTGCAAGGCAAATATGAGCAGCCCTCGCCAATCCGGAAATTTTTCCTCCTTGCCTCTGTGGTGGCCAGGAGGAGGTTGTCGACAACACATCGCAACATGCTGTCGAACATTTCCGCCGACCAGCGCCGTTTGTTTCCGTTATGCAACGCCGTTGCAAGGACAACAACAGGTGGATATGGATGCGGGGGATATTGTGGGTGGGATGGCAACGGAGAATCCGATGCCACTGTTTACGCAAGCCAAACTTTTTGTCAGCTGTCATCGGGGCAGACGTACAAAAGGAAAACGAGAGTATCCTTTTATTCAGCCCACAAAACGTAGCAGCCTTCGAAGACTGACAGCTGCAATGTGGTGCAATGAACGTGGGGCGGTAAAAAAGAAATAATTAAAAAAAAGAATCGTCACACTATCTTGTGCTCGAAGGCCCCGGCGAGATTCGAACTCACGATCTCCTGTTTACTAGACAGGCGCTTTAACCAACTAAGCCACGGCGCCACTTGCAGAGGGGTGGGAAATTCGGAAATTTCCATAGCAACACCCATAAGATCTATTCGAATACTAGATAAGATATACGTATGATTTAAAAATAAATATCATTTTAAAGATTGTATGTTTATTTGAAATGCCCCTTAACTTGTAACATTTTTACAAAAATTGAAGTGAAAAAACTTGTTTCAATAGTTTTGACAGGCATTTTAAAGAAGACGACTGATTTATGACATTTATCGAGGCTTTTTTTTCAAATATATAAATATAACACTGAGTATTTTTCTGTTGACAAATATACATACATATATTCTCATTTATATGCTCACATATGTACGTTCACTAAACAAGTTTTTTTTTCAAATTTGTTACTAGAAAAGTATAGTTTATTTACATAAATTAAATAGAAAACACAAGTTTTTTAACATTTGTTAAAAAAATATTAATTTAATAATCAATAATCATATTATATTAAAAAAAAGAAGCAATGCTTATTTCCACAAAGGCCCCGGCGAGATTCGAACTCACGATCTCCTGTTTACTAGACAGGCGCTTTAACCAACTAAGCCACGGCGCCACATGACTTTCGCTTGCCCAAACCACTTGATATTCCTAGGTGTATGTTAAAATCGGTTTATGATTATAAAAGAATAAATTTATGCATCAGTAGCATGTTGCTATATTAAAATAATTTAATATATTTTTTCAAAAATGTTTAGAAACAAGCCAAGTATAAATATCTAACTAATACACTCTGATTGTTTTCACAAATTATTGAAATATGTATAATGGATTATATGAAATATTTTCTTGGGGAGTACCGTAAAAAAATGTACATTTAGGCACAAGAACCAAGATAAATAAATATTAAATAAACATGGGACTCCCGGCAGGCAAACTGCTAAAGGGGAAAACCATAAGTGTGCATATAGAAATGTATCATAGCCTGATTAAATGAGATGATACACCAAGACAATATAAATGGGGAATGTACCAAATAAGAGCGGTGACATTTTGCCGCAACCTATAAAAACCACAGTCTTAGGCAATGGAACATTCAAATTTAAAAGTGCACTCCAAGAATAAAGACAAAATTTAAGAAAAGTGAAAAGAATGGATTGTCAGGCTTCAGGAAACCCCAAGACTGGAGAGGCTTCAGCTAGATGCGGAGTAACCGTGGGCAATGAAATAACCAATGCCAAAGCTGGAGTCTTTGCATCCACTCCAGGACTTGGAGGACCCGTCACGAAGGGAGTTTATGGAGCCATTAATAGGTAATACATAGAAACTATAAATTAAATAATGAGGGTCTTTAAATCTGTAACTTGCTAACCAACAGCAATGGCCATGGATTGTCGCTGCAACATGGTCATGTTGAGCACTTTGGCGGCACGACCACGGCAGCCGCCCAGATTAATCTTCACCAGAATCCGAATTCTTCGCTAAATGCCACAGGATTTCATAGCCACAATCGCTCTCATGATCAATTCGGTGGAGGACTGAATCTGCACTCGTCGGCTGGACATCAGGCGACAATGGGGGTCACCCGGGTGCCCAAGTTCGACATGACCACCGTTCAGGCCCAGGGTACTGCCAATCTTTACACCTCTCCGAGCGGCAATGCAAACCTCAATGCTTCTGGAAATGCTACACATCATGTCAGCGGACCTTTTCGTGGCAAGACTGATTACGGAGGCGGAGTTAACTTTCGCTATAACTTCTGAGTTTTTGTGTGCTAAACATTATAATACACAATTTATAATCAACAATAATAAATAATATTGTTTCCATCTATTTTTTTATCAAAATTTTAGTAGATTTTCACTGAAATCTGGTAAAGATACTCTAGAGACTAATAACATATGTATGTATGTTTGTGCAAATGTTCCCAATAAGATGCTGAGCTTTTGATAATAATAATATGTATTACTTATTTTACGAGGAAGTTTGTTCACTTCTGGGTCCCACAGTTTGAAACTGAACTTTGCCGGAGCTACATCATGCGCTTAAATTTATTTCTGTTAATTATTCTCTTCAAGTTCTGCTATAATCGGGTTGCAAGCTTGGAGAATATAGAAACAGAGGAATACAATATAACTTCGCAATACCTAAATCTGTTGCTAACGTGGAAGAATCCTCATTCCTTAGATGGAAATATTGCACAAATTACCAACCAAACAATCGTCAAGTTAAGAAGTTTAACGGTGATAGGCGTCGAAAGCAGTGATCAAAGATATCAAAATGGAGCTTATTACCTTGAAAAACTAGGAATTCAAAGAGTGTACACTTTTCAAATACTATCGAACTCTTTAGATGCTGTGGAAAATAGTGTTCTTCCAATTTACACGCCGGAAACTTTAGTATTAACTTTAAAAAGAAGTGATTGTGGTGATGATCTTAATACATACCTTAGAAGAATTTTAAACAATTTAAAAGAGATTTATATTATTTCAACAATTAATAAATGGGATGCTGGTTTTTCCTTTGATGAGAATATTTTTAACGGACAAGTGAATTTGAAAAAACTTTCGATTTCTGGATTTAATATTTCTAAACTTACACCAAAAACATTTATTCCTTTGATGAGCTTAACCAATTTATCAATCTCAAAATGTTCCCTAAAAAATGTGAATGTTTTTACGTAAGTTGTAAGAAATGAGGATGAATCATGTCAATCATAAATTTTATTTCAGAGAATCCTATTCCCTGCAACCAAGTTTGGAATATTTAATCTTGGACATAAAAGAGACTGTGAGATTGGAATACTTTAAAAATTACAAGAAACTTCAAGTAATTGAAGTTGGGAATCATGTAGCATTTTATAACATTACTGCTGTAATATGTAAACCAAACGATGCATCGTATTGTTCCTTGGCTTTGGGTGTCAATGGCATTTCATGTCCCGCCGATTGTGCGTGTGTAGTTTATGAATTGAAGGAGCTGAGGATAGATTGCTCTGGAAAAGGACTTTCAAAAATACCTGAATTGCCAATTCCGATTGCTTTTATAAGAAAAACAGCTTTAAACTTTCAAAACAACAGCTTACAACAATTGCCGTATAGCACATTAAAAGGCTATTCTAATTTAAACGTACTGGACGTATCAAAAAATTTTCTTAGAGGCTTAGAAATGACCCGCCTTCCCAAAAACTTGGAGTATTTCGACGTGAGCTTCAACAAAATATCTACCTTGACTAATAAAGTAATAGAGTATTTAAAAAATGTTCAAGTTTTCAAACAATTCGGAAATCTGTGGATCCTTGAATGTGACAATGCCCCACTAAAATAATTTTTTAGAGCTCTTTCCGGTCATAAATATTTTGAAGGTGTCACTTATTCTCGATCCAGAAATGAGAAAGGAGCTAAAGTGGCTACCTTTATCGTTGTCGCTGTTCCTGTAAATGAAACTCATATAATGGTGACTAAAAATAAAAACCAACCAAACGAACAACACATGTTGTTCAGTGAGGAACAGCTTTTAATGCAAATAAGTTCCAAGGATGGCTATACTAGACGGATGTCAAACGAATTACTGGATATCCTGGATCGGCAAATTAGTCCCGATAAATTCGAAAAAATTATTTTTCAGCATTTGGGAGAACCATGCCTGTTTAAATGTGAGTGCTGTTATGACCAAGTGAAGCACATTTTTAAGATCGACTGTAATGGAAAAGATTTTTATTATGGTATTCCTTATCCAATATCCCCAAAGAATTATACTATATTACAGAATATTAAAACTCCATTAAGTCTACATATATCGCAAGGAAACTTGGGAAAATCTCCATAGGTGCACTTCCGAAATCATTGGTGGATCTCGACATTAGCATGAATAGGTTGGAGTCTCTGGACGACGATGTAGTTGATTTCCTCCTTCAAAATAAAGTATCTGTTAATTTAAAGAAAAACCCTTGGAAGTGCGATTGCAAGTCGAGAAAATTTCTCTCCTTCCTTAGAGATTACGACCCAGGGGAATATAATCTGGCTATGTATCGATGCAATATTCCTCTGGAAGATTGCCCATCATCCTGTTTCTGTTGTTTAAACACATCTGTCTGGACTTCCTTTATAGTCGATTGCAGAGATCAAGGATTGTTGAATATACCAGAAATTTCAGATAATGTTACGTACTTGGATCTACGAAATAATAGTATCACTGGAATGACCATCATGGATCGAGATATGTTGGACCGGAAAGGTCACGGCGCTGAATTGAAATTGTTCCTCTCTGGGAATCCATGGACATGCGAATGCATCGATTTGGATTTTGTGTTTTTTATGAAGAATATTTCAAAAACTATTGAGGACTTCTCTGATGTCCAATGCCTTGGAATCGAGAAGGCTATGGTGTCAGTCGAGGAGTCAGACATATGTCCTTCGGCCTTGCCCTATTACTTAACCCTCGCCACATCGCTGATAATTGTAATAATTTTCATAAATTTCTTGGTTTGGCTCCGACATCCGATCCTGATTTGGTTCTATGAAAACGACATATGCCAAAGTATTGCTGGCCGGCAGGAGATCGACCTGAAAAAAAAATTCGACGCGTTCCTGTGCTTTACGCACAAGGACGAGGATCTGGTGGCGGAGTTTGTGGAGAGACTCGAGACCAGCAGACCCCGGTTCAAACTATGCTTCTACTTGAGGGACTGGCTACTGGGAGTATCCATTCCCGACTGCATCACGAACTCGGTAAAGGATTCGCGGCGCATCATTATCCTGATGACGAACAACTTCCTGGAGTCTACCTGGGGCCGTCTTGAATTCCGGCTAGCCTTACACGCCACCTCACAGGATCGCTGCAAGCGTCTGATCGTCGTCCTGTATCCGGAGGTGAAGAACTTTGACGACCTGGACAGTGAACTGCGTACTTACATGGTTTTCAACACCTACCTAAAGAGGAACGATCCCAATTTTTGGATCAAACTGATTTACTCTATGCCGCACTCCAAGCTGAATCAGAATTCAGTTCGCATAGAGGAGACTACAATGTAAACCTTATATATCGTTAGCTCTTAACTCCTTACTTTCTAAGTTTTACTTTAATATAAATTTAATTATTCGGCCTCTGAGCCAAACGCTGTTTGATTTTCCATAATTTATCAAAGCAAGTTCGTACAATAATCGAACATGGACCAATATTACTTGGAGTTCAGAAACCTTACCCATATCCCATCGATGAAACTCATGACAAACCAATTTTTTGCTAGTCAGCTACCCCTAAAAAAAGTGCAATGCTAGCAAGAAGCAAAACCGTATTCAAGTGCCATAAAAATAATTCAAAATAAATTGCTTTACATAAAAATTTGGTTTCAGCTGAAGAAGAAAAAAAACGGCACAACAATTTTATAAGGTGTATAATTTGGCCATAATAATGCGCATCATGCCAACAGAATCCTTCGAGGGGTTGGTTATTAATTCCTGGCCGACGCGTCGCCGCGAACGAGACATAAATAACGCGTTTTATGCGTGAATATACTTTGCATACTTTTCGCAGACACAGCCGGGAGTCCTGGTAAAGCCGTAAAAATTACACCAGAAAGTCGAGAAGCTTTGGCTTTGACTTTCGGCCGGGCCGCAAGCCAGTCATGTCAGCTGGCCTAATCCCCAGGTAGATATCCTTCTTGATTGGCCACAATGAAAGATGCCTAGTCAATATTTTTGATGTGCCCTGGAGAGTTGTCTGGAGGGATGGAGGATAAACGCTGACTTGTAATGTCGTGTAATTAGGGTCATAATCGGCTTGCCACTCGAGGCCTTATCTCGTTGCCGAAAAACGACTTTGTTATGCAAATGCAAGAAAGGACCAAGGAAACCACAAGATAAAGCTTTAGTCTTGGCTTTCAGGCACTTTGTGAACCACTTTATTGGTGGTAGCTTATACAGTTCTATGCTAGTCTATACTAAATAGTAGTCTAAAGTTTATAATCGTAGCAAAAAATATCTTTAAAAATTCCCTTTCATTGCTTACTCTGAAAAAACATAGTCCTGTCTGGCACCCTTTGCAACACTGTGCCAATAACAAAGGGTCCTGTCTCTTGACAACCGTTTCCTGGCAGCCAAAAGCCGGGACTAATAAACGTTATTTATCTTTTTGCCCGTATTACTATCTGCAAAGCTGAGAAACTATATTCAAATGGATTTCACGTACTGTGAGTTCCCCAGCACCGTCTCCATCGACACCTTCATGGCCTATTTCAATCTCACCGATGTCAAGTTGCCCAAAGTCGGCGGTAAATCATTAGACAACAGCCAGATCCCCAACGAAGTCCAGGAGGGCCAGACAAATCAAGTGAAAAGTCTGAGACATCTTGTTCTGGATTCCATTGTGGATAACTGGAGTGGTAAGAGAGACCAATGGTTGTTTAAAATTTTAAGACAGTTCCATGACTATAAATAATACTAAATATGAGATACATATTTTAGTTTATAAAAATATTTTTATTGCCCAGTTTATTGTTAAAATGTCCAACATAGACTCTGGAAAACCCCTTCTCATCCAAAAATTACTCATCCGCAGAGTTGCCTTGGTACAAGCATCTGGGAAGGCGCGAGGACCGAAACTACCTGCTCAGCCACCTGGACACCCAACTGCCGCTGCAGCTGCTCAGCTCCCACATCCGGGAGGACTTCTTCTGGCAGCGATGCTATGAACAGCGCTGGAAGAGTGCGCCCCTGCAATCACGGGGTGTGGAGCGGCCCTGGATCAACATCTACATGGAGCGACATGTGCAGGAGTTTATTGAGAACATGCCGACGGGCGACTACGAGCAGGAGGGCAACGTTCAGGCCACCCTGGACATCTGTGCGGCGTACATAAATCAGTTGGATATAAGTTTTCTTCAGCCCGCCCCGCCCACGACCGATGCGAATGGTAAGTGGAGGGCCAACGACCATCAGATACTCTATCTTGAGTTTTTTACTCTTCCACTTTCTCCATCTTATTATGCATGAGTTGAATATTATTTAAAGCCCAACACATTATGTGACCCCCAACTCTCCTACTAACCTCTTTTCCCTTTGAAAACCCGAAATACCTTCTGCAGATCACATTCCGCTTGATTACCTTCTCAGCAATCTGCCGGATTTACGCCAACTGCGACTGAGTTACTGTACCAAGACGGCCGGCTGTAATTACCAAATGGGCTGCAACCAACTGACTGCCAGGGACATTTTGCTCCTGTCCAAAGGACTCAGCCAGTGCCACGAGTTGCGCCAGTTCTGGTAAGAGATGCTTCTGACTGAGGAATTCTTTTTTAATCACATTATTTCGCAGTATGCACAACACCAAACTGATGCCGTATCAGTTGCGATTCCTGGCCCACAGCCTGGACAAGGGATGTCACCACCTGACGGAGATGTCCTTGCTGCACTGCGCAGTGGGGGATGCAGGAATTCGTAGCTTTTTAGAGACCTGCGGCCGGGAATCCTTTAGTACTCTTACTGTGTTGGATTTGACTAATAATAAGATAAGTGAGTGAACAAGAAGTTTACTTGGATGACTTTGTTAACATTTTTTTCCGCAGCGGAAGAAGGTGCCTATATCCTTAGTCGCACTTTGAGGCATGTACCTTTACAGCGGCTGGTCCTGCGACTAAATCCAATCCAAAGTGACGGTGCTGCTGCTATATTTCACACTCTCCAGTTAATGCCCATTAAGGAGCTGGATCTGGGGACCTGCGGCATCTCAGAGACCATCACAAAACTTTTCATGATGTTGATTTGTCAGCACAATACATTGCTTGATATAGACATATCCAATAATTCCTTGGGAGAGGTAAGAAATACTTTTAATATTGAATAACGTATCATTTCGCAATCAGCAAACCCAGAAGAGAATTTCCCCATTCAAAGCATTGCCTTAATAAGTGTCGTTTTTTAATTTTTCGAATTTTTCCCTGGGGTGCTCCCATAAACTTGTGGGTTTTCCTATTTTCCCACTTCCGTCCCTTCCGCTGGCTATACCATTGCTCTGCCAATTTGTATCCGATCAGAAAATAGCGTACCATTTCGTAATCAGCAAACTCAGAAGCAAATTTCCCCATTAAAAAATGGCTTAAATATCGTTTTTAAATTTTTCCCAAGGGGAAAGCCCCATAAAATTATGGGTTTTCCCGATTACAAATTCCATTTCCAAATTAAACATTAAAAACTAAAAAAATTATATATTAGTTGTTCTAAATTTTATAAAAATTATATCATTGTAGGACTTTGGAAAACATCTCATGAAGATCATTACCTGTAATAAAGTTCTGGAGAAATTGGATTTGCGTAATACTGGACTATCATTGGAAATGCGTAGAAAATTTCAGGAGCTTCTTATCAAAAATGTGGAACGCAAAAAGCATGAGGCCCTAAAACAAAAACAACGAGATAAATTCAAGGCCATGATGCAGTTATAAATAAATATATAAGAATAATTAGATAAACCCCTTTAACATATACTATTTTTAAAGTTCTGAATGATTAAACTATTAATTATTAAAATAAAATATTTCTATGTATTGCTACTTGTTGTTATGATTCACTAAGGATTAAGTAGAGAACTAAAAAGTAAATTTTAACAAAAAAGGATGCCATCTGTTTCCGCCCGGGATTGAACCGGGGGCCTTCCGCGTGTTAGGCGGATGTGATAACCACTACACCACGGAAACTCCGTTAGAATGCGCTTCCAAAAAACTAAATTTCAATAGAAATTTTTAGATAGCGATAGATAAAGCTTATCTCAAGTATTTAAAAATAAATGCTCAATTTTTAGAAACCAACAAAAGACTACAAAAAACTATAACAATTTAAAAAATGGTGACATATTTTATAAAGTTTCACGTCCTTTTTTCATTAAGCTTCTGACCAAATCTGATGTAGGCACATCGATGCTTTCAGGCCAACTTTCATTAACCCTCGACCTTGTTGACTTAAGTCAACAAAAACAAAGCTAACCCCATCAAGATTGCCGGGGTCCCAGGGCACTGGCTTTATTCCTTTCCCGTTGTCCTTTCCTAATGGATTTGGCCAGCAACGCCAACAACAACTTTGGAAAACTAAGTGGAAACACTTGAAAATAAGATGAAAAAAAGGTAAAAAGTTGTTGAGAAAATAAATAAAGAAGGAATTTCTGTTTTCTGTTTGTTGCTATTTTAGTAGATGTTGTTTTTGTTGGGCTAGTTTGTTTTTGTTGCTCTTCTTGGCACGAAAAGTGTAAAAATGGTTTGCGCTTTTTTGTTAATGGCATTTTAAGTGCGGTCGGACTTGGGTAACCTGAACAGGATAGCCTTAATAATATTAAGGAATAATTGGAGTAATAGCTATCGTAGAAAACTGAAAAATATGTATGATTTGCACCTTCCCTTACATCTGCCATAACCAGACAGCTCGTGCTCATCCTCTAGTTTATTTTTGGTTTTTTCTATTTTGGGTAAGGTATTGTTGTTGCTATTTTTCAATTAAAACCAAATTGTATTTTTGTCTGGTGAAGGTTTTTACTCATTTTCTGCTCATTCTTTTTCTCGTTTTGTTTATTTAGGACCTTGTTTTGTTTATCTGCGCAAGTTAAAAACAACACAGTCGAAGACAGACCCAGGATACGGAGCACAATAGCGTAGATATTCGGATATATGCTTCCATTTATCATAGATACATATATGATAATTGCGTTTTAAAGTTTGATGTGTGGACAAAGTTTTTTGGCTAAAATGTCCTGCCCAGGACTCGTTGCCGGTGCTGTTGTGCCAGCATATTTAGCAGCTCATAAATCTTCAATGGATTCAGTCTTGTGATTTATAACGAGCCACAAACTTGAGCTGGCCAACAATGGAAAAGAATCTTTAAAAAAAGTTACAAACACTTGTAGAACTGAGGAAAAAAAAGCTTTAAAGTAAGTCTTTATAAATTTTAAAAATCAGCAGAAAATAGTATCTTTTGACTCCTCTAAGACTTCCATTTAATTTTTTCTTTGGCAATCTTTTAATCCCTTTTTGTTTGCCCTGCCAGCCTCAATTAGTTTAGGCCTAATTGTCATATTTTTCTTCTTGGCCTTTTTTTTAGCCCTCTGTCCAGTTAATTGCATTTGGTGTGGGCGTCTGGGAGTGGCTATTTGTACCATGGCCTGCCCTGAAAACTTTAGACAGTTATCATCATTATTTATGATATTTCTTTCCACTTTTTTTCGTCTATTTTGTCAGAGAGGCTCCTAGCCGGGCAAAAAGGGGTTAAACGCGCCAAATGGGCATGCAAAACTTTTCAAATTAAATTAAAAGCATGCCGAAAGCGCCGGAGACAAAACAAATTTTGATGAGTCAGCTGCCGTACTGTGAAAAATAATGGTGGCCAACTGCAGCGATTAAAAGTCAATAAATCAACGTTCTGCTGATGAGGGTAGGATTTAAAAAAAAACAAACCTCTAATTAAATAAATTATCTAAAAATAAAAAAGGAAAAAATTTTCACCTGGAGATGCGGGGTATCGATCCCCGTACCTCTCACATGCTAAGCGAGCGCTCTACCATCTGAGCTACATCCCCTACATAATTTTGGTCACTTTCGATGTCTTTAAAAGAAACCTTTTCATGTTAACCCATGACAATTTATATCAGGTAATTTAAATTTATTTAAGAGATATGCAAGCCACATTAAAGTGGCATTCAAAACCGGTTAACCGCATTGTTATTCCATTAGTTTTTAAGCTGATTATGTATGCTAAGGTTGTACGTTTTTTTGGATTATAGGTTTCAAATATAAAATACATGTCTAAACTGACTATCCCTAACTATCCTTGCATTTATATTGCTTGAAAAAAGGAAACTCCACTTATATGAAGCTAGATGGGTTAAAACGATGTGGGGAATATAAAAGTAAACAATAATAATTTTATACATGCTGTGACAATACGACTTTATTGCCAATACAATAGATAAAAATTCAATTCAGGATTGTTCTACTCCTCCCCATTATTCGGAGTCTGACGTTTTTATGATTATTTCACTCCTTTATATGTGTTTTCTGTTTGGTTTACTGGATGACAAATTTGCATATCCCTCGGGTCTTCGGGTGTGTTGGCTGTCTTCGCATATGACAGTCCTGGGAATTGCCCGATACCAGGGCACAATCTCAATGCCAATCGCATGATGTGCGAATTGCCACAAGGACTCTCGTCCTGCCATTGTCTAAACAATAAAGAATAATCTCCTCCGGCTTTGGAGTCGTGTGGCACAAGTTTGTGCCTAAGCATTGGAATGTGCCACGTTTTATTGCTTGTAATTTGCATTCAAAGTTGGTTTTTGCGACAAAAAGTAACTTTCTTTCTTTTTTATCGTTGACTTAAAGTCGTTTAAATGAGGCGTGCAACTATGGATGACTTAGTTCAAAGAGTTACAAACAAAATCCAAGCCAAAGCATTAATTTTTGTATAGATATTTTTAGAAGAAATTTAATCTTTGAATCCCTATAATAAAATACCTGATTTAAAATTCATAAGCTCCTGTTTCCTGTCAAATAGTACCTTTTCTTGGCAAGAATTTCCAAATTTCCATTCCATCCTGACTTGCTGTCAGTGCGTATTAATCAGAAAACCTTTTCGCCTTAACCATTTGGCTGGACAATATTTGCCAATCAATTGCCACAAACACAAATTGTCCATTTTCCTGTGGCCCGACGGTGTCGCCGGGGCGGAAGGAATTTTAAAATTCAAATATAAAATAAAATGCCCAATTGAAAGCGAGCGGTTACAATGAGTCCGAGTCCAGTCAGTTCTGTCAGTCAGTTTCCACAATTTTCACACCCACAACGACGGACCCAAGATGATGGTAGCAGATGGCGATGCTGGGGATTGGGGATTGGTGGGGATTTTTGTATATCGGAAGACCGCAGCAAATAATATTGAAAATCCGTAGACAATTGTGTACACACCGGGGGAGACAAAAAATGCCAGAATGCCTGTCCAAACCCGCACTTGAGGTCGCTGACTAAATGGGCAAATGAAAATGAAAATCAACTGAGCTGGAATGAAGAGCGGGCGAAAAAGTGTCCTGGGTTCGGGGGTCCTGGGTTATTCATTTGCATTCTTTCCTGCCTGGTCTCTTTATTAAAAAACTTTCCCCCTTACTCCACAAAAGGCATAGAAATGCCAATTAAATGCAAGAATCTGTCCAGCATGGACTTTGGTTTCGGGACTTTGGTTTTCCCAACAAGTAATCCTAGACGAGCATTCTCACTCATTAGCACAAATCATGGTGAGACATGCTGGCGCATATATCATGGCCGGAAAAAAACAAAAAATGTGTTAACAAAATATATGCAGGCCTCACAAATTATGAGCATTATCATCAGGGATCGGAAATCGGTGGTCAGGGAGCTGGATGGCCGGAGCTGGCAAACCGTAATCCACTGTGGAAATGTACAAATGATTTGCCAGCAAATTGCAACAGCTTTTGGGCCCGGTCGGTCATTCCTGCTAAGTGGACAAATCTACCACAAATACGAAAATCACCCTCATTATGGCCAAGAGCGTAAAATTCCTCCTCCGTTCTGTATATTTTTTTTTCGGTTGTCTCATTTTGTGTATGTGTATGAGTGTGTATTGTTATCGCAATGTCGACAAGACCACTGGCCACGTTAAGAGACAACAGCCAACTGCTCTCATCCCAGCCGGCAAAACCACCAGGCAAATCCTAAAAAAAAGGCGACAATGTTCACGAGTCGAGGTTGGACCGCTGTCAGCGGGACTGACACTAAAGTGGTTTACGGCGATAAGATGCCCCTGGCTAGCTGACTCTTCTTTCCCTGCATCCTGTTAACAGAAAGGACCATCAGGATAGCTGGAAAAATGTGCGAGGATTCCGCCACGCAGCTTCATGTGAGAGATTTGAAAAGGATGCATAGTATGGGGATTATTGGAAGGTTGGTCTATCCTAGAGGTATAGACGCATTGGAATTTATTTTATAAATATTTTCAAAAAATAAAAAAAAAGTTTCATATACTTTCCTCTCGCACCTTCCAAACACCCGCCCATCAAACGTTTTCCCATTTAATGACAACTGTAAATTACTTGTTGGGAAAATCGCTTAAGTAAGCAGAAATCAATCGATTGGCCCTAGTAGCTATTCCCGAAATCCAATTGTTAGTCCGGCTCCATACACTCCACCCTCGACCCCAAAAAGTAGACTAGAAATTATATGCAACGCATCGTGGCCAGGACTCTTCGCTTCGCTCTTTGCGTTTTTCCATTTATTACAACTAAGTAGACACAACAAAAACACGAGGATTGGGAATTGGGTATTGGGGGCTAAGGTTGGATTTCCACTGCCTCCTGCCAACTCCTCTCAAGAGGAGTTTTGTTGGTCTTCGGGCTCTTTCTTCGGGTAGTTTCTGCGGCTAAATGGTTTGAGCGATAAATAATGTCCGTTTG